CAAGTGAAAAGTCAAAAGTTTTCCGACGGAGATTTGAACCTGCGTCGTTGCGACTGAAGTCTCATTACGCAACCACTACACCACGGCCAGGCATGTTACTGACTACTGTGAAAAAATAATAGATAACACCCTAAACAACCGACGCACACTTATGCGCCGCGCGAGTATAACTTGGGCTTTACAGCCTGACACGTGAGTCGCTCGGTCGAGGACCTGTTTTCCACGTCTAAACGACGTAAGGTGTGCATCTGGACGTAAAGCAATGTCTTCCCAGACGTTGATATGACGTTGAATCTGTACCTCTGTCGCTGCCCTGCTTTATTTACTTGGAATCACCCTCTCACAGCACAGTTTTTAGATATAGATGTATCATTTCCACATTGAAAAGAGTTGGAGACAGAAAGTAAGTTGTTTTCTCACGTATACGTGGATTTTGTTAAGTATATTTTGTATATTATCTGTATTTTGAATTGCCAGTGCATGAATCTATAATAATAACGGCTGGCACTGCTCAGCTGAAAGGGAGACACCTTTTTTTAGTTTTTAAGTTAAAGTTTAAAATATGATATTGTTTTTCATATTTCAAACTATTTTTAACACATTCAAATTCTTAGGTTAGACTGTCCAACAAAGTATGTGTTAAAAAAAGGTTAAGATTCTTGAGTTTTAAAATAATAATTCAATTCTAAAATGTAAAGTTACTGTATATTTCACAATGGTTTATAAACTGCAAAAAGACAACAGTACTTAGTAAACTAAGTTTAAAAACAGGGAGATCAGCTTTAATATTTGGGACACTCCCATCATTTAGACACCTGTGATGTCATCAGTTGGAGTTGAGTTCAGGTGTGGGACCATGTGGGACCATGTGGGACCATAGGAGCACACAGATGTTACCTGCTGCAGAAAGAGAGTTTAATGTTCATGTATTGCTTTGTTTAATAAATGGACTTAACGTCTTCCCAGGTCTTCAATGTCAGAGACTTTCACTTCTTCTCACTGTGGCTGTTTAAATGTTATTGTTAGCTGCAAATATTAAATATCCATTCATCTGCTGGTAGCAAGCTAAGTAGCGCTTGCAACTCTATTCAATTTCTTACTTTTTCTTATAAACTTTAAAACCAGCCATATGTTAATTAAAATACATTTACCTTTGCTAATGCAGTCAATTATTGTGAAATCCATAGAGTATAATTTCATGATTGTTGCAATAATTAATGTTCTGTGTGTATTCCTAATGTGTGATGTGTGTTTGAGTCTTACAGGTGTCAGACTGTGTTGAAGGTGTTCAAAGGTAAGAATCACACTCTCACACATTGATTGTTGTTCTGTATTAATATGTTGTTTTTAGAATAAACCATTATTTGGTGTATTCTCTTTGAAAACATCTATCTTTTTCTCAGATTGTTCAGCAACTCACTCAAGATGAGGGAAAAGAGCAACAAGGGGAAAATGCCCCCTCGGAAATGCAACATATAGAGTAATACAGGGTAAGTAGCTTTCAGGGCTCATTTGTCCATGTGCAAAACAAATGCATATTTGCAATTGTTTTTTACATGGAATTACTCCAATGACCAAAGCCTTATCCCAAGTTTCTCAGACGGGAGTGTCTTCTAGTGTCTCGAGCTAGTGCAGTGCCAAGGTTTGTATCACATGGTGATGGATCGAGTGGTTTGAGGCATTAATAGAAAGTTATGTGTTGTTATATCACTTTGCCACATTATGTTGAAACTAAACATGTTCCACATTTTCAGGTGCTGTGCTTGGACCTTGTGATGAGAGACTGAAGACCAAGAGAGGACACATGTTGGAACCTCAACATTCAATAAATGCATTCTTCTGCCTTTCAGATTGTGTTTTTACATCTGGGGAACCTAGAGTGTAGCTTGTGCCTGTTTTAATACTGATCCAAACATAGGCGCTACAATCATGTTTTTTTACTTTGGCATGAACTGTTCAGTACAGTAGTGTTCATAACACTGTGCCCTGTGTGCTTTAACTTGTACTTTGATGTAGAGAAACATGATTTTTAATGCAGCTCCATTTGCAATAATGACTGATATCCTTCTACTACAGTTGTTCTAATGATTTTTGAATGCTGTGTTTATCGTTTATTGCCCAGAGTCAGAACTAAACATGATAAAGCTGCATTTCAGATTCACAAGGCTAAAATCTGGAACGGTCTTCCTGGAAATGTGAGACAGGCTTCTTCTTTGACAATGTTAAAATCCAGGTTTAAAACACTTCTGTTTCTGCTTCAACTGAGAGATTTTATGAGAGATTTTATTTGTATCTTTTTAATTTACTGTCAATATTTATAATTGTAATGCCTTGTTTGATTGTTTCTATCTTTTGTTCAGTGCTTTGAGTTTCCTTTTGTTTTGACTGTGCTATACAAATAAACTTGCCTTGCCTATTGCAAAAAGTATGTCTCGACCAGTGAGTGATTCTGCAGAGGTTAAGTAGGTCAATAGGACTGTAAATGGACGTCATATAAACGTCAATATTTTGGTCATATAAGACGTCGAGAGGACGTCGGACCCGACCGGTTCTGTACCACATTGCAACCTTGAATGAACGTCCAGATGACGTTGAAATGACATAGTTTTGACATATGCTTGCTTAGTGGGAACAACGGAAAACGAACGTCATATGAAGGCAATATTTTGGTCATATAAGACGTTGATAGGACGTCGGACCCGACCGGTTCTGTACCACATTGCAACCTTGAATGAACGTCCAGATGACGTTGAAATGACATAGTTTTGACATCTGCTTGCTTAGTGGGAACGACTGAAAACAAACGTCATATAAACGTCAATATTTTGGTCATATGAGACGTTGATAGGACGTCAGACCCGACCGGTTCCGTACCACATTCAAACCTTGAATTGACGTGCCATCAACGTAACATTTGGAGGTTGAGGTGACGTCGGGAAACGACGTCGAGAAAACTTTCATTCTGCACCCACCAGTGACCTATATTCTACGTCGGACAACGACGTTCAAATTACGTTGATTCAACGTCGGCTTGCTTAGTGGGTAAAGTGGATTGGCTTCAACATGAGCCAATACTTCATATTAACCTTACATTGAAAAAAAGTGGCTCCAAAAAAAAAACAAGAAAAAATAGCTACTATCAGAGAAAATGTACTGTACAAAATGATCTGCCAGTGGATCAGGATTTCTCCACTTATAAAATATCAATAACAGGTAATATTATCTTGAGTTTCTTCAGCTTAAATGAATAGAAAAGGCCAAAAAATCGTTGTGATTAGATTAATATACTGAGAACAAATGAACTACACAAGTCTCACTTTTTGCAGTGTTCCAGGGAAGAGACTGAAAATAGCCTTCGTGTCTCTCTAAAATCACAGCTAACTTGTTCCAAAATGAGTCCAATTGTATTTTCCAACTGTTGTTTGTCCAAAAACTAACAGCAGAACAACTTAGTGTGTAACTTTGTAAGTAAATGGGAAAACTGTGACATTCTGGATTCATTTTAGTCCAGTAAAAAGTCTTCAAACACAAAGATAAAAGCCCGATCAGAATATATCACATTAATTATTACCCAAAAGTGTACATTTTAGTCTTGTATATTGCTGCATCCCTGGTTATGTTTTCTAGTCAACTTTCTCTGATACATTTATTGTTTTCCATTTGGTATAATCACAAACTATCAATATCTATTAATGAACTTTATGAAGGCATGTGACTGCTGCACATATACACACAAGGATAAAATCACGATTCATCATTTAATTGAATAACCAGCGATGCCAGTTTAAATGTTTTAGTATGACCATATATGTGTATAATTGTTGTTTTTAAAGTGCTTCAGGGGAGTCCAACTGGTTCCAGACAGGGCCATAGTAGCTGCAGGTTTTAAATCCAACCAATCAGGAGCTCAGCAGACTCCAACCATTTCCTCAAGTCTTCAGGATGAGACTGGACTCAGTTGAGGAAAGAGTTTCAGAGGCAGAGATTATAAGACTTCTCTGCTCCATTTCTTAAGACTGTATATTGGCGTTTTTGTTGTTGTTGTGATTGTATGTCGCTTTGAAGGAAATAAAACAATGGGTGTGCTCCTGCTTGGTTGGAATAAAAACCTGCAGCAAAACAGGCCTTTTGAGAACCATTTTGATTGAATATGAAAGTCCCTCATTTACAGTTAAAGCTGGAGTACCTTAACTTTTTGTGTTTCATGAATGAATTGTGTTTGTCCTACACACTTCAGACCAAAACCTGCTGTTTTATTCGAAAATGTGATTTTTTACATTCTGAATGAATCTTTGGCATACTTACATTCAGAGTGAGGGCTCAAATACATGAGAGAACTAGGGATAGAACCTAACAATTTAGAGAGAAAGGACCTACACTACAACAGTAAAGTTCAATCAGTGATTTTTCCGTTAATTTGACTTCATTCTGACGGTTCTAAACCAAGATTTGCCAACGAGATAAAGCCATTTAGTCTAATTTCAAGAACTGTCGCTTTATTTTCTCATTCCAAGGGAGACATTTCTTGTATATCTTTTAAAACAAGATAATTTTGCTCATTGTCCCAGTGGCAAATTTAGTTTGAAGGCAGTCAAAATGTGCTGAGATTACGATTGGGTGCACACTGGGATAGTCTTGCACAGTTTTTCCAATGTGGTTTTACTACAAATGGCAAATACATTTTTTTTGCCAAATTCGAGCAATTTCTGACTTATTTTTCATCACTTTTTGAATTGATATTATCACATTACTTCTTCTTTGTGAGATACTCCAGCCTTAATCCACCGATACTGACATTTCTGTGTGATTCTTCATCCTCCCTTCACTGTTTTATCCCATGGTGTGCAAGAATAAAACACATTACGCAGAAGTGAGTGTGTCTTTGTGATGTCTTGACTGTTTGCCTGACCATTGTTCTTCTCTCTCTCACAACATATTGCATGTCAGTGGCATGTTAAATAGAAACAAAAACAAAGTGTGTAGACTTTCTTTGCGCCTACCTAATTTTTCCATGCATGCACGGAGTCTCCCCTCAAGATTTGACACTCTGTTGTGCAGCTCCTCGTAGTCATAGGCCCCCATCTCCTGCTGGAGTTCACTTAGCACTGACGTCAAGTTCTGGACCTCCTCCTTAAACTGCAATACCAATTTGGCATCGGCTTTGTACTCCTCCAACACTGGTATCAACGGTCTAAGCTCCTCCATTTTCGTTTTTATGGCCTGAAAGGATTAGAATAAGCGCGGTTGAGTGTCAAAAATGAAAAGGAAAAAAAAGAATGAAATTAAGAAGTCACCTATCTTTGCCTGGCTACTCTATCTCTTCCCCTATCTCTGCACCTGTGACGCCATATTGGTAATGTATGCAGGTGTCATGTACTGTGCAGGTGTATGAGGGTAATAATAATAATAATGAAAACAAACCACACCGGCTGGACAAGCAGAGGTTTTGGCTCCGTCCTGGCAAGTGACCAGTTTTTGTTTTGTTTTTTTTGTTAAGAAGCAAGCACCTCGCCACACCAACAACAATTGGGAAAGCTCTTTATTGGTCATCATGGTTTAAAATGCAACATTGTAAGTAAGGGATACATGCTTTTACATGTCACAGACAACAAAGTGTTCTCGAATTGTACGTCTAAAGAGTTTTATAATGTGGAGGAACCAAATATGCATAGACAAAAGCGGAAAACAAAAAAAAAGATAACATCAATTGTAATAATAATGATAATCATAAAAATTATAAATAATAAGAATAATTTGTTACGTTTTAAAAATAGCTTGAATGGAAAACTTTGATTAGCAGTATCATGCAGGAAAAAGATCAGTGGTAGGTTTAGGACAAAGGGAAAGGGTTTATCCTGGTTTTGAATGGTGCTTAAGGTTAAATTAATATGTTTGTCGCCCAAAATGCTCTCAGTACTGTGGCCCAGTTCAGGGAATCTGGAATAGACCTGCCTCTTCTTTCCTGTGGCTCTCTCTCTTTACATGTCTTAAAGTTAGCCCTGCAAGCAAGAAAACGGAAGACAGACTGTTGACAGGGGCTTGGTCTTACTATCCTATCTAAAAGACAAACGCACACACATTGTATCATGGGACAGAATGATATTGAGAGTGTTTCATGCGGAGGAATGACAGATGATATGAACATGCTTCTGTGATGGTTCAGATCTGACACATGTTTGCTGTAATGAAGTGACACCAAGTAGATAGGACGAGATTATTACTCCATATGGAGTATTTTAGTGTCATTATTTCAAGTGGTTTCATTATGGCAAACATGTTGGAGTGAATATTGTGGCGAATATGTAGAGATATGGATTTCATGAGTTCATTCTAAAGAAGAGTTCTTGTCTTTATGGGAAGTGAGGCTGTGACATGCGTACCTTGTATTGCTTGGCAATGTTCTGCTTGTGGTTCTCTTCCACCTGTCGGAACTTGGTCTCCAGCCCCCGCAGCTGGACCTCCATCTTCTCCACATACTGCAGGTCTCTCTGGGTCCGCTGGTCCAACACTTGAATGGACTGTGTCATGTTCTGCACCTGATGAGTCAAACAGGAAGAATAACTGTTTAAAACATATGTTTCATCATTAATGGAATGACATCATAATTGGCTTTGGACACAAAAGATGGTGCAATGAATATGCAACACATTTCCAATATGTTGTTCTGGCGTCTTGCAGTGAGTCACTTTCACTGAACTGAGGCCAACTAGTCAGGGGCCTGAGACACATGGTGCATCGCACACATACTGTTCAGACATTTGCTTTCTCACCTCTGTGAGGATTCTGGCTCATCAAGGGCCTTGCTCAACTGTTCCCTCCCATACACTAAATATTGCATGTTCATATACGTTGACCTCCTAACAGAGCTCCCTGGTCAGGCCTGAGCTCTCTCAGTGGGGAGTGAGTGCATTACATCATTAGACGTGTGTCTTGAATGTGTACAGTACATGAGACAGTCTGACTCCCATGATGCCTCTCAGGTTTCCAGGGAGCTCATTAGAGCATGATTCCTATTCTTGTCCAGCGGCAAAGAGGTGACGCTGGGACCAGAGAGTATAGATGTGTGAGCAGACAGCTGCAGAGGTGGAACTGTGAGACTTTGATGATGATGTTGTGAACTGCGTGTGTTAAACTGTAATTACCTTCTCTAAAAGCTGCCTCAGTTGTTTGGTGCGAGCGTCCCGCGAACACATGGACTGCTGCGGTGCCACCACAGTGCAGACACACCTTCCCTCGCTATCCTGGGCTGAACTGTACACCTGCCATGATTCCTCTGGGTTGGCTGGCAAGACCTGGAAAACAAGCAGTGGATAAAAGATGATGAATGTTGGTCTAGAAGGAGCCAAAAACATTTGATACAAAGAGCTCAAGCCACATTTTAACACAACAAGGTCACACCTTTATAACAATCACTGCCAGTGTTTTAGGTCAATGAGACGCAACCAAGGACAAGCACTTGATTTATTTGCACATAAAGTGCACAGTGCCAGCTTAATTCCAAAGCTGGTGCTGCATTCACAACCATCTGGACGCCACCAGATCCAGGCTCCACCTTCCTGCACCATCAGTCTGGATATTTTACAACCAACCGAAGCAAACAGAAACCAGTGCAGAGTTATACATATATAATAGGTGGCTGTGGAGGCAGGGCGGGAAGTGCCGGAGGTGGCATCAAGGCGAGTTTCTCCCGCAGTACGAGTCCAGCTCTAAGTCACTAATGAGGAGGGCTGGAGACAGAGTGAGTGACGGCTGAACGAAGATAGCATCTGTGCTCATTCTACAGGAGGGCATTGTACTTAAGCGATAAGAACAATCAGTGTGGAGACTGCTGAATGATTCAATTAGTGACAGACTGAAACCACATCTGAAGGAGGCACAATCCGACACACATCTACAGACGAGGAGACAAACACATTCTCCCATTTTCTAGTAATAGAAAGCATGACCTCATGTGATAAGCTACAGTGTGTATGTGCATGTGTATGCGTGAGTGTGTGCGTGTGCGTGCTGACAGCGTGTAGATATCTGCGTCCCGTACAGCGGCAAACAAAGGGACGTGGCTTTGAACGCCTCTCATTCATAGAAAGGTAAAGGGGAGGGTTTACTATAACGCACCATATACATTTAACTTTAAAGTACATTTAGTCATGAAACATATACGTATTTTAGTTTGTTTCTTAATACACATATTAGTGCATCAAATCCAGAAAAAAAGGATCACTTAAGACCCAATCCCCCCATTATCTCAGCTGTAGTAACGTTAAAATGTTGGATTCCTTGCAGCCTATACCAGTTTTTTTGTCCAGAAACTCTTTTTCCTCTCGCACGGCCTGTCCCACCTGTCCCAGAGGATGAACTTACTCCAGTGCTCCGGTCCGGGTATCCCCCCTGCGCTGCCGTCAGCTTGGTGGTGTTGAGCCCCACCAGAGAGGGGAGGGTCTGCGACATCCAGTTGGTGATCATCGCCATGGTGCTGAGCACGACACCAATCTTCAACAGCGGCACCGTCATCTCGCCAGACTCTGCTCAGACTTTTCCCCAGCTTTTCTTCTTCTTTTAGGCCGTTTTCAGTCTACGCACTCCACCGTGGTCAGAGCCAGTCGGATGCGAGTCAAGCTGCCCATAGCTCCATGTTTCACCCCTGGATCCGGGTCTGAGCTCTTCTTTTTGGACATTTTTTCCACCACGGGAAGGCAGGTGCGCGGCCGGAATGAAGCAACGCGAAAAAGCTGGATCCAACAGGGTAAAAGAGAGACGCGCACGGAGCTGGGGGGTCCTCTCTCTGGCTCTTGTCCCGCGCACTGTCTCGTCCTCTGCTCTCAGTTACTATTTTGTTCACGCCCGATGCTGCTGGTCCCGCCTCCTGCCTCAGCGCGTCTTCTATCAAGTGCAAGTGCCACTGACTGAGCGCACGGACCGCTGCGAGTGGAGGAGAGAGCGAGGAAGAGGAGGGGGGGAGGAAGAGGAGGAGGAGGAGGTGCCTGGGAGTCGTCCTCTGCCTCTCTGACCATCTATCTATTTTTCGGTGATGTCAGCTTTTATTCCTGATCATGTTCCACTGACCCGTGCGCACTCCATCCCCAGTATCTTTATGAATCGGGGAGAACATGGAACAAAAGAGAATCCTCCACGCCCCAGAGAAGAAAAAAAACTTCCTCTCCCTATTTTTTTTTTTTTTTTTTCAAGGTAGTGCTGTAATATCACCTTTGCCATGTTTCTAATTATAGTAGTCGCACCACAGTCGCCCGTGGTGAAGGAGAGAATTGGATCTGGCTTTATACGCGCCATATCTCATCCGTGTGACTCTGGCGCCATCATGCAGCCAAATGTGGCGTTGCTGAAAAGTAGTGATTTATGTTTTTATTTTTTACGGTAGTGAATCCAAAACATAGGCACTAATAATCTTTCTCTATATTTATTTATTTTTATTTATTTAAATTGTGGATACGACAATACATTAACAATACATTACAAGTATTTGAAATTAAATTATAATATACATGATATGTGGTAAAAAGAAAAAACAAACTCATGTTGCTTGCATCTTTCTTGAAACATGTACAAATTAAGTGCAAAAATGAAATTGACTTCAGCACTCCTCCTCCAAACAGATTCATTTTATTTCATTCTCTTTGTCATTCTTTATTATGCACAATATATTATATACATTATTGATCTCACGGTGGAGCAAATTACAATATAACCTACGTATACAACCTAAACCCAACACTCGTTTCTAATGTGTTTAATGGTATTTTCAATTTTTCTTGAAGCACTTTGGATCAGAGGGAAGCATTCTCACATTTACAAAGGCTGGGTCTAACCTACATAAAGCTCCCACATTAAAGGGGAAGTTGCTATTTCTGTCTGTATACAGTAAAGAGGGGGTTGAGAAAAAAGCAAATTCACCCGATCTCTCACTCCCACATCTCAACCTTATTCTGAGATCTCTCTCTCTCTCTCTCTCTCTCTCTCTCTCTCTCTCTCTCTCTCTCTCTCTCTCTCTCTCTCTCTCTCTCTCTCTCTCTCTCTCTCTCTCTCTCTCTCTCTCTCTCTCTCTCTCTCTCTCTCTCTCTCTCTCTCTCTCTCTCTCTCTCTCTCTCTCTCTCTCTCGAATGCTATCGCTAATCCATCCTTCCATTTTCTTCCGCTTCATCCGTTGCCGGGTCGCGTGGGCAGCAGTCTAAGCAGAGACGCCCAGACTTCCCTAGCCATACCCACTTCCTCCAGCTCGTCCGGGGGGACCCCAAGGCGTTCCCAGGCCAGCTGAGAGACATAGTCCCTCCAGCGTGTCCTGGGTCTTCCCCAGGGTCTCCTCCAGGTGGGACGTGCCCGGAACACCTCCCCAGGGAGGCGTTAAAAAGCCAGAGCAAAGTTATAAAAGCCAGAGCAAAGAAATGTGTCTTTAGCTGCGATTTAAAGCTCTCTGCACGTCCCTGGATAATGTTTGTAGGTTGTGTGTCTCTGTTCTTGTTGTGTTTGTTTTACATGGACCCTTTGTGTGTCTGAATTGAAGATTAAATAAGTAAATAATCAGTTTTGAAAGTATTGTCAATCAAAAGACACGTGTTTGCTAGCTGTGCAATGCTAGCTGCTTGAATGCTTTAGCTTCCTATTTTGATAAATGCTAATGTTGTTGGTTGGAGGAAGAGAGAACTTATGGAAAAAAATGAATCTGAATGAATGGAAACTGAATATGAATCATGAAATTTACACCATTGATGTTCATGGGTTTTTTTATTTTATTAATATTGCATTTTTGTGTTTGATTCACTGATCTGTGTTGGTGAATCGACAACTTTGTGGGGTCCTTTCGAGACAATGCTGTTGTGATTTAGAGCTTTCCAAAAATAAAATATATGAGATAAGTTTGAATTGAATACCAGCTCTCAGCACAAAAAAATTAACGTGTTGTATGTACAGTATGTAACAGATAAAGCCAGTTCTTAATAATAATAATAATAATAATAATTTAATTTCTAAGTAAAAAGTGCATTCTAAAAACAGTTAAAATACAATATTAAATATGTTTAAAGCAACATGAACGGAGGATTGTGTAGTTATGATTTTAGGCTTGTCTAAAAATATGAGTTTTTGGAGTTTTGTTGTCAGATTTGTCAATAAAATATTACTTGTAAAAAACAGAAAAGACAGCACCGTGAAGCAGCCTTTATCTTCCCTGCAGCGTAAAATAACTTCCATAACTAGTGTCATGCTTGTAAGTAATGGATATGTTTGATTTGTGTACTTTTTTACCATGTTTTATTCATGTACTGTGTCTGGTGCACACTGGAGTACATTCACATCTGTAATCCAGTGTGGTTTTACTGCAAATGGCAAATAAACTCAATCTGAATCAATGCATCTGTTTGGTATACGCCTCCATAAAAAGACCCCACAAGAGGCATCCCCAAAATAAATAATTCAGTGAGAAAGTTTCTATATTTATAAACCACTTTCACAGACCTGGGTGTATTTACGTTACTTGGTGGTGGATAGTTTTCTTGTTTTCGTGGGATCTCATCTCAGAACCCCGACTTTAAGAGGATTATTTTTACTTCCGAGTGGATCTTCAAGACTATAGGTCCACGTCAAATAAGACCAGAGAGTTTTGTTCAAAAAGTGGAGAGGGCAGTTCTTTCCTAAAATGTGGGAAAATCCTCTTATTTACCTTTAACCCTTTAATGGTTTCCTCAACAGTTTGGAGGATCACTGAAGTCACTATATTTTTACTTGGAGCTTACTTGGAACTGAAATCTACCTCATTGGGGAATCTACATTACTTGGTTTTAGTTAGGCACTTTTAACATCAAACTGCATCTCAGCAAATTGGTAAAGGCCCAGGATAGAAAAAAAAGCTTAGGGTTAAAATGTATTTACTTTGTTTTCTTCAAGGAGTGAACATTAATGTAGCAATATGTAGGATTTTCATGTCAAGTGATCATTAAATGATCCAAATCTGTCAAAAGGCATTAATACATTTTGCTGTTTTCAAATACGTCTTTAGATATTTGGATTTCAAAATTAGTTTTACAGCCCGTAAATCTTGTTATTGTTTTAATTTCGATGTCCCGCCCGCCACCGTTTCACCAATCAGAGAGTCCGTGATCCGGGTGTGTTGAGCTAATCTCATCTGGAAAATAGTAACATGTTGCTGCAGAACTAAAAAAGGTCTTGCTATGATTCTCAAATCCTTAATATTAACACGGAAAAAAAACAAGGATTTCTATCGTGGCTTATGTGAAAAAAGTGTTGGTTTTAGATTCGTTGTTGATATAACGCTCATCTATTCAGATATTATGGTCCCAGCTGGATCAGTCTGCACATCTGGCAGTGGGAGAGGTTGCAGTACCACTTTTGGCCAGATTTTAAAATACTGCTCCTTTAAAATATATGGGTAAACTTCAAAACAACGGGATATTACATTCAGCTAATCCCAGAGAACGTAACCATGACATTTTTAGAATTATTTTCAAAAACACGTCTATCCGAGCTTTTAAGCCTACAACTCTCATAGTCCAACATGTCGTCAAGCCTCACGCTGCCGTAGCAAACCCTCCGCAACAAGCAAGTTTTACAACCCAAAGCTTCATGGTAGCGGCAATAAAATCCCATTTCCCTCCTGCCACCACACAATCGCAGCGTCTCTCTCTACACCACCACCTACTCCTCTTCTGCTCTCTTTCTCGTTGCTCCATTGCTCAACCAGCCCATACTGAATAATAAATAGCTCCAAGCCCGGGCTGCCAATCACACCACGCATATTGCAATTCAGCTCTTACTTCGGCTCACATTCTCACATAAAACCAGATTGATTCTTCCCCATTTTGATGTTCCCGTGCGTTCACAAATCCCCAAATGATCCTTTGTTATAACCTTGAGGTATAAGCGCAGCCACGAGACAGAACCAGTTTCTAAATAATTTTTTTTTATGTTTAATAATCAGGCATCTGTGTTCACTGCGAAGCGTTTAGCGCGTACACACAACCACTAATTGATAACTAAGCTTTGTCATTATGAGTGGAGGTATGTAGGCTGTGTTATGTGGTGTCAAAGGGGGGGTTCCATGGCAGTGTACCATCTGTCCCATCAGGTGTTCGCTCCAAGGTGCGGCTTTTTAGATGCAGGGCCCACCAGCACATAAGGGAGGCGCGAGGGAGGGGAGCAGATGCCATTCAGGCTACTTACTATTCTTCCCAGTACGAGGACTGAGGTTGAATGAATGTGATTAAAACGACTAATCAGCCAGCAAGAGCCAGATGTGTATGGACACAGAGAAGAACAATGTGTCGAACCCATGCAGCTGAAGCTACAGGGGTTCGACTGGATTTATGCCGTCGAAGTTTGATTTGTAAATTGACTTTTTGCGAATCAATTTTGTGGGTGAGATGTTGGGGTCTATACACAACATTAAAAATGCATGAATGGGAAACATAACAACTGAAATATTCAATAAGCTATGTTACTGTAGCTTATTGTTCTCATGTGTATATTATTGCTTGTTCTAAAACTTTCCAGGTCAAAAGAATCAAATCTCCAAAGCGATAGACCATCCTCAAGTCCTTCGTTTTGGTTTATTTATGCTGAACAACATATTTCCAATTCTTAAATCAGTCGAGTTGTGTAGTCACATGGAGCAAAGTTTTCTGATCTTAAAACAAGACAGTACACTTCACAAAAATGCTAAAATATGAGGTAATAATTGCTTGAATCGAGTGGTTTTTATCTTAATTTCAGTACAGTCTATTTAAGAGAGCATTTAAAGTGGTCCACTGCAAAAAGTGAGGTAAAATATGTCATACATTTCAGCACATTTTGGTGGCTTTAAAACAAGATTTGCCAATGGGAAAAAGCCATTTAGTGTTATTTCAAGAACTGTTGTTTTATTTTCTCATTCAAAGGGAGATATTTCTTGTATATTTTTAAAAACAAGATCATTTTGCTTTGTCCCATTGGCAAATCTGGTTTTAAAGCAGTCAAAATGGACACACATAAGACACATTTTGCAAAATTGGAGCCATTTTTAATTTATTTTACATCACTTTTTGCACTTTCACATCACAATGCTCTCATAAATATATTTTGTCAGTGAATGTCCAATAGATTAAGGAATATAGCATACAATCCAATCCTTTCCTTTCCTTCTCGCAGCATTAACACGAGGTTGTGGGCCCTCGCCTGCATCTCTTCTTGCAGTTTGCTTTGTAGACGTGAACAGACAAGCTCATGACTAATATTGACTCACCTCCCAGAGCATGACACACACTGTCAGAAGCGCACAATGTCAACGTATAGAAGGACCCTGACCCGCGATGACACTCAAACTCACAACCCACACCGGGGCCTCAGCTCTGGAGCATGTTCCCTGCCTCTCCCTCCCTGCACTCTCAATGATAGCTTACATCAATCAGTGGCAGATCGCCTCATTGTTGGATATTGTGTCAGCATTTCTGCGCTTCTTGGCTCAGTCCGGGTCGGGGAGAGCAAGCTGCAACAGCGGGCACAGAGAGAGCTGCCATTTGCATGCATGGACTAAAGAAAATGCCATGTGAGAATGTTGCAGTTTGAATGAAATGCTCCCTCCCAGGACATACAGATACACACACACACATCCATAAATTATTGGAAATCAATGCTGAGTGTATTCCTGTCACCGTGATGCTCTAACTAACACACACACACACACACACACATACACACACACACACACACACACACACACACACACACACACACACACAGACAAGACAAGCTGTGTTTACTTCTGTCATATACAGTATGTGTGCCTCCAGAATAGAACTAGAAAGGTTAATTGATTGATAGATACCTTGGTAACACATTTGATTTTCTCAGTTCGCAATTACCAGCGAGTAGATTCACAGGAGGCTCAGGCGCAACAAGAGAAATATGGCTGTTTGCTTAAGCAAGGTCAATTAAATCATCAAACTCCTGAAACCTAAACAGCAGCAGGCCCTATATGGCAATAAATACATCTACCCTCCTCTCTCCTGGCTGGTGGTGGGGGCTCTCACAGCTAGTAGCTTAATGCAAAAGTCTTTGCTATAAACAAGCTTTTTTGTTGTTGTAACAGGAAGCCGTTTTAATAGTCCTATCCAATTTACCATTCAGACCATTTATTGTGTTGGGCATCTCATTACATGGACTTTTCCCTCGTTGTGCCAAAAGAGAAAAGCTTTTGAGTGTAGATCTGAGCGTCACAACACAGAGAGTTCTTGTATAAGCATGCTTGATGATATAAAGAAAAATGACAAGTGACATTATGTTGTGTTATACCCGCTGGAGACAGAGCACACACAGAGGGGCTGTGCGGGTCTCTCGTCGCCCGTGCAGCAATACGTATATACCCATCATGTAATACCGCCAGCTAATCTGGTCAAGAGGGCACTTTAGACGCGGTAACAACATAATCTTACATGGGATATGCTGCCAATTAACGCGTCCGCCCAGGGATTTTTGTTTTTTTGTTTTTTCAACACGGCTTGGGTAAATGACAAGAAACAGAGAAGGACCTACTTGGGTGAGTTCTGTGCCCACGAAGAGGAAGAGAACGAGCGTGAGGAGCTTGCTGGCTGGTTGCATCGCTTGCCTCCAGTGTGGCTCCCTACATGCAGATCAAGTCCCCCCCTGTCAGAAGCCCTGTCCTGCTTCCTTCGCCTCGATCGCGCACTTCGGCTCGGCTTGTCTGCTCGCGTCCCTCAGCGGAGAAGAAGCGGTGTAGCTCGGTGTCCGTGGGAATCGTCTCTGTGCATATTCAGTTCATGCGGGCTCCGTTGCCTCTCCCCTTGCGCTGCTGCTGCCGTCGTCTTCAGCCAGAGCAGGTTTCAGAAGCGGCAAAGGCGTCGCATCGGGGCTGGCTCGGGTGCCCGGCCAGAGCGCTCTGTCAGGTGCGTGTGCGTGTGTGTGGACGAGGCTATATGGCGCTCCCGTGGCTCTACTGGCAAAAGTTTAGCTCCCCGCCTCGAGCTGCCGTGTGCGAGCCCGATGTGAAAAGAGCAGTGACGGCGCTGTCCATGGTGCTGAGCGGAAGTGACATAGCACGGCGAGGGGCATTCAAATGTGCAGAGAGAGCTGAAGGGGGGCATGCAAGACAGAGGTGGTCAAAGTACTGGTTTTAGGTACTTTTTATTATTGTCTTATGTAAATGTGAATGTAAATGTGCACTTTATTGTCCCCGTAGGGAAATTTGTCCTCTGCATTTGACCCATCCTGATGCCACTAAGGCTCACGTCAGGAGCGGTGGAACCCATCTCCAGATGTTAATGCTCGGCTTGGTCAGGACAACCGGATTTAACCTTGTGAGCATATTTTTGTTGGTAGGGGAAACCGGAGCACCTGGAGCACGCAGAGGAAACCTACACAGAACATGCAAACTCCACTCAGAAAGGCCCTGTTCCGACCGGGATTCGAACCCAGGATCTTCTTGCTGAGAGTGCTATCCACTCAGCCACCGCGCCGCCCATGTTATTGAAAAGGCACACGATCAAATATAAACGGCAGCAATACACAAATAAAGACAGAGTTTTTGAAGGAAAGAGTGAACATATGTGAAAATGTACAGAACGTAAATGTTTTTTTACGGCACTTCATTCACTCAAATAAATAAACACACATTTGTCTAATTGTTATGTCATCAATCACTTTTTATAGAGGTACTTGTATACCACTATAAAAATGGCAAACTGGAATGAAATTTTTGTTCGTTATGTGTTTCTTTATTTATTTGGATGGGACAGTGTGTGTTCATGAACGACAGAAGCTGTAAACAGACCAGACTGCAGCTTTGTAGCTCATTTCATAGTTCCACAGTCGCATACACACAAACACAGACCTGCGTTTACACAGGGAGAACATGCAAACTCCACACAGAAAGGCTCTGTCTGGAGGTGGAATCGAACCCAGGAAATTCTTGCTGTGAAGCCAAAGAGCTAACCACTGCACCACAATGCCTTCTTATTGTGAAAAGTGTGTTAGCCTGTTATACACATTTTTTTTATAACATTTAAAATATCTACAAATACATTTTGATAAAAGTAGAAGAATTACAATCATTCCTTTACTTAAGTGAAAGTCAAGAAGTTAAAAGGACCAGGTCAAAGAAAAGCATCAGGCCTCTACAGCTTTTACAGAGAGAAGAATCATTCTCTACCTGGAAGTAACTGCCCTAATTCTCTTGTGTTTATATGTGTGAGACACTGCTCCTTATGGCATGATCCTGAAGTTAATTCTGAAAAAAGAATATGTTATGGCTGGTACTTAATGATGACTTGTTCCGTCCATCACTGATAAGGTAAAGGTAAAGGTTTTTATCCCATCCTGATGTCACTTGGGCGTCTTTCAGGAGCAGTGGTTGCCGCAGTAGAGCGCCCAGGGACCCATGTCCAGATGTTGATGCTCGGCTCGGTCAGGACCAGAGCTGGAGGATATTGTGCATGGTTTTAGTGGTAGGGGAAACTTGAGCACCTGGAGGAAACCTATGCAGACATGGGGAGAACATGCAGAGAAGTGAAAGAGCCACCGATTGTGAGAGAGCCACACAATCGGTGACTATGGCTAATGTTTGGTTTTGGGAATGACAATGGCTGTGTCACTATGTATCAAAAAACACTTGAAAATGAGGCAGCTTTAAATAAATTAGCACACTCTTCATAATTTCCTTCACATAAGTAGTGAAAATATCTTCTCATTTCTGCTGTTTCCCCAAATGTTGATGATAGAATAATTGGCTAGAGACAATGCTAAAGTTATGTTGTGTTTTTTCATGTCCTTAGTCTGCTTTTTCCCCACAGTCGTCAACAGCAAGTCCCACGAAGAGACCGCATGAAATCCATTGTTCCTGCAGGAAAGAATCAATATCCGGTGATAGGGACTGTTCAAAAGCATCCACTTAATCAGTATTGTGCCTCAACGTACAGAACAGACATGATTGTTCATTCTAATCAGGAAGGTGCTCTCGTGCATCGTTATGATCATGGAAATTGAAAGGGGTCAGGGGAACGGGAGATGCTCGGTTACTGTTGTGGTTGATTGCGTTTTTTTTCTTCTGTGGGGAAAAGAATAATACGTGGAAGAAGGGTTAAAAAAAATGGATTGGTGAATGAACTGTCAAAATGTCAAGCTGAGCGTCCTTGAGCAGAGAGCTGTCCCTGGTGCTGGTACGGAGAGCGTCATCGTCAGAATATCTCAACAATGACAGAAAGTATAGGGAGAGTAAAAACAGGTTGGCTGAGAGGGCCAGGTGAAAAAAGGGGACAGCAGACCTACTTTCAGTGCTCTTCATGGTCAGACACCAGAATATAGTAAGTACCGGATCCAGCCTTATGTCGCTAACAAGAGATAAAGCCTGGTTCACACGGCAGGATAATTTGGCCGATTTAAGATAATTTGCACTCGTCGCTCAGAAGGACTTCGGGACTGCTCCGATCTCAAATCGGGGACATCCAACATTGGATTGTTTTGGCCTGATTTCTCTTCGTGTGTGGTGTCCTCCGGGGACAGACGAGCACGCTGCCAGTGGGCCGCGGTGTGTAGCCAATCAGAAGACAAGGTGACAAAGCAGCGAGGAAACTCTGTAGAAAAATCATAACAGTCTGTGGCATGGCGCATAAATATATACTGTATAGTCCGAGCTCGCGTTGTCTCCATTTTTTTGACCATCATGTTTTCCTTTGATAACACTTCTTCTCTGTCAAAAACAAACTTTGAACTATCGCCACTGCATCCTCTTTGTCCTCCATGATTGTTTACTCTGAAGTCACGCTTGATCTCGAGAGATTTTGTGAGATTTCCGTCTGACCTCGGAACGCTCGGGGGGGAAATCGGTTCGTGTGTGGTTTTTGCGTGACACTGTACGACCAAAGTGCTAACACCCTTGATTTTCTATCTCCGTGTGTGGGGTCTCTCAGGTTTGGAAAATCGGCCGACAATTTTAAAATCGTCCCGCGTGAACCAGGCTTTAAGATCCTCTGTTAGAACAGGTTTATGGTCCTTTGCACTAAAATCAGAGGAGACAGATTGTAGACCAAGAGCTCTGGTGTGTACTATCTGCTCTGTCAGCTGCACACTGGGGGCAGTCTTGCACAGTTATTCCAATGTGGTCTTACTGCAAACGAACTGAATCTGAATCCTTGTCTTTTGAGTGAGCTTGTCCAATCTCTGCACATCTTGGACTCTGTGGTTAAGTTTCAAGAGTCAACCTACAACACATTTGTTTAGGCAATCATTCTTGCCTCACCCTATATAGGTCAGGGTGTGATGTCTCTGCTTATGCTTGGCTTTTTCTCTCCAACATCGGTAAAAAGACTTGTTTTTCTGTTTTTCACTGTATGTATGGAACGCACTCTGTCACCCTGGTCTGTGAAAGCCACTATACCACCACACTTTCTTTATTTGGTTTCTCATTTTATGCTAAAGAATTTCAACATAGAAATATCCCCACTCTCTCTACATTGACTTTTTAGAGAATTCCTCTGGAGAACCTGCTTTTTAACAGGGACTAATGGATTGCCCTTATATGCTTCTCTCAATGAGGTGATTTTCTGCATAACACATTTATGCTCTCTCCACATTAGTTCCAAAATCTAAATGGATATCTATCTACCTATTTACATTATTTTGAGATTATCTATTTTTGCCGATGCTATTGATACTGCTGTGTGTTTCTGTATTTTTGTTTAAACATAATTTTTGGACCGCAGGTAGAATTGCTACTGTATATTTCAGTAGCTAATGGGGATCTGAATTAAAACATACAAACCAACCTTATTTTAACACATACAAAAACTCAGCACATTTGTTGCGCATAGAGCTTGTAAAAAACCAACAAAATTACTAAATAAATATTCTCTAAAACGTCTCTGTGTTTAAATGTATCTATCTACCTTAATCCCATACAAATACTCATGGCCGTCTGTCTGAATTGTACGGCTGTGTGTTGTGTCTCTTTCACTCAGTCTGACTCATTTCTGTAGATGGACCGTGGGCTGAAATACATTACCTTTCCCGTGGCTTGGTTAAATCACCTTGGTGATGGTGGAGAGCACGTTGCTTCCGAGGACCGCATTGGCCGCCGGACTGCAACAGCGCGGCGGAACAAGGTCAGGCGGGGCTGCTCCCTATGCAAGACACACACTGACCCCAACAGAGCCAGCACAGAGAGGTTTTCATGATGCATTTTACAGTTCAGAGTGGGTTTGATTAGTCTGAGAACGGCTGAAGATGTGTTAGAGCAGGAGGGACACTTGTTTTCAGAGGGAAATAAAAAAGCTCCTCCCTTTTGTGTTCTTTCGCCCACTCGCGGGACAGCAGGGGACGCCTCTGTCTCTGGCACATTCTGTCTCTGAAGGTTTTAAGCCGCACGAGGCACCATCAAAAGAGCTGACCGTCCACTAGTGAGATGATGAAATGTTGTGTTTTATGAAGCAATGCAGACATGGTTTTCCATTTTGTGGGGTTTTGGGTTACTTTAATGAAGAAGTGTGGACTTTTTACTTTTATCTGACACAATCTATGCTGTGTGGTACTTATGAGCGGTTGAGGTTTATGTTTTACTGCCCATTGTATCATGACTGAAGAACTCATTTGTATCAGATCAATCAGAATAAAAAATCTGGATATTCAATTCATTTCAATGTATTCTTGTATAGCCCTAAATCACACCAGTCGTTATCTTTGAGGACTTTACAAAACACATTCACAGAATTCGCCAACACAGATCAGAGAATCAAACAGTTCAAACACAAATAATAGAGAACCCATACCCGTAATGGGCCATAGGGTGGAGTTGACCAATGTCCATAAGTGTTGATAAATGTCCATAAATGATTTGTTTTGGCTGTTTGAAAGGGATATGTTTTGTTTGTTATTTAAAAGCCACAAATGCAACGGGTCCATTAGACCCACGAATACTGGCTGAGTAACAACAATATGAACACTACACAAGGGTTAAAAATTAAATGTTTGTTTGGGGTGCAGTAGCTCATGTGGTAGAGCATTGGCCTTTGAGCCTAAAGGTTGTGGGTTTGAGCCCACCTCGGGACCTACTCCAACTGCTCCCTCTGCTGTCGCCTGGTGCTGTGAGCTGTGAATGTTTTGTTTGGTCACTTTTGTGGAGAAGGCC